CCCCAGCTCCTTCGCAGTCCGATGATGTAATTAAAGGCGGTTGAACTTGTACATAGCCGCCATTCGGCGCATCACGAAAGACATTGCCCAGCTGGTAGAGGCATTCAGAGCGAAACCGCGAGAGGACGGAGTTGAAGGGTGTTCGGAGACGAAGGTGGGGAATCGACCGGAGGAAGTCAGGACTGTGGTATTTCTTTTGTATAGGATATGTCTGGAGAAAGATAATGAACAGTCAGATTTTACTCTTGTAGCTTCTCATCTAGTCGGGGCAACGTACCTCTGGTTCTGCTTGACCCACAATCTTCACCTCAGTCGTTTGAAGTTCATGGCTCTGCTCTTTACCAGGCGGGCAAGCCTTCCACAGACCAGAAATCTCGACGGCCGTTCCTGTAGATAAGCTACAACAACCATCAGCACTCATCTCAAGCCGCCATACCCAGGCCGTTGTCGCGACTCTCAACGTACTCTGCCGCCTGCGCCGGCTTCAGGAACGCCTGTAAGGGCTCAATAGTCGAGCCATCGGTAATCTCTGCGAACGCGAAGCGTTTCTGCTTTCGAACGGAACGAACGAAACCGCTGATCTTGATTTCTTGATTCTCGTAACTGCTGCTCCCAGCCTGACTCTTCCGGAGGACTTCCGCGCAGCGTAGGAGAGTGGTACTGCCGCTTCGTCCTGTTGCATTACTATTCAGTCTGGCAACAGACGTGGCAAAGGTCCGCTGCCATGTCCGCATAGCTCTGGCTAGACTGGATGAAAGGTTGTGTTGTGATGATGCCGTGTTGCTGAGACCGTATCTTCTCCGCTCAATTCGGCTCGAACCAAGTGCAGCTGTTTCCGCACGGCAGAATCGCGGTCGCCGAGGTCATCAGTAAAAGCGCTACGTTTGTTTTTGCTTGTTTGAAAAGAAAGGACAAATAATTATAGAACTATTTCATAAATCGCTTATATTGTAAGATATTACTGAAGGAAAGTGCGCCTGTAAGGCATTATAGTGGCCATAATTGCGCATGGCATGCTAACCAAGCAAGTATAACAGCACCAAGTCATATCACAAGCAACCAGACCGTGAAGAGATAAGAGGAGTGGGTGGAGGAAATGAATGAAGCATTCTGTTTCAAAGACCTTGCTGTTCGTACGCCTTGCGTTCTTCCTCAATCATCTCAATGGCGTCTGATATCTTGCCGTCCGCTGCGGCTGCATATACCGCAATCCGTTGAATACCACCCTCGAGTGTATTCTCGTATCCTAGCCCAATCAGATTAACCACGCAGTGGTCAATAGCACTCTGTCTTGGGTCAAGCTGTTGTTCGTTCTCATCCGGGACCGAGATCTCTTCCTGCGATAGGGGCATGCTCTGAGGACGAGAGTGCCCGAAAGTATTGGAATAGTTGTCGTAGGCGCATCCCTCGTCGTGAAATCCACCAACACTGTCCCGTGGACCATGGTGTAAAGAGTGTCGCTCAGTTGCCCGCCGTCGCAAGGCTCTCGAGGGACTTCTATCTCCGTTGCGATTCAGGTATCTCATACTCTTTGACCGACGAGGCTTATAGTGATCATCATGACCTGTGCCTAAGGTTTGAGCTAGTTCTTGGAATGGACCTGACTGCGTCTCATCGCCATCATCGTCAGGAAACGAGCCTGGGGTGCTTTGCAGTTGATACGCTCTGCCAGCGACATCATTCCCATGGCTCAAATCACACTCGGGTGCGGACGCACCCAACGTTGGTGTGTCTGGGTCTCGACGGTGGTGGGTTAGAGCATGAGCATCTATTTGAGACAGGGGAGGAAAGCGGCTGTGCTCTAAGTCTCGAGTGAGACGGGGGAAATTGTCAGGCGTAGTGCTCAGGACTTTGTTTCCTTTTGGCTCTTGATTTGTGCCTTCGTCGCTCGAGCATAAATCGGCCACACTCAGAGGAATCGGTCGTTTCTCACTCGCTGTGATGGACTCTTCGCCCTTATCACCCTGTCCAACCTCGCGCCGCTCAGGCTTTGTTCCTGACGATGGATTGGCCGAGTTGTGCAGCTCTGACAGCCGACAAGCGTGGCCCCACCCTGGAGCCTGGTCAGGATGGAGGGACGTAATTGGCGAATGGTCGCTTAGTTCCAGATTGATAGAGTGACCGTCAATGTGTGTCCCTTGCAACGCATCCAATGCCGCCCTTGCGGCGTGAATCGAAGGGAAGTGCAGGTAGCCAAAGCCTGCATGTTTCCTTGTTTCGGCGTCCAAAGGCAGGTGGACATCAACAAGGAACCCCTTTGCAGCGAATACATCTCTGATTGTCTTCTCACTGACATTGAACCCTACATTACCAATGAACAACACTGCGTTTGCAGAGCGAAGTGCATCGGTGCCAGCGTCGGAGACTTGGTCTGTAGCAGCTGTTGGCGCTTCAGACTGGCGCTCCTGGTGCGGCCGGAAAAATGGCCACGCGGAGCGCCATGATGAATGATCGTGAGCACGCGGATGAGGCGAAAATGATGGAGGGAAGGCGCCCTGAGCTCCCCATGGCGGGCGAGGAATAGGCAAGGGATGGAACGGGTGAGGTGGTTGAGGGGGAGGAGGAGGAATATGATGATGTTGATGTGGTGGGGGTGGCGGAGGAAAGGGACGAGGCTGATGTTGATGGTGGTGGTGGGGATCGTGAGGAGGATGAAGAGGATGAGGATGGGGATGAGTATCGTGATGGCGGTGCGGGGGAGGGGGAGGCGGATGGGGACGAGAATGAGGATGAGGATGAGGATGAGGATGCGGATGATGATGGTGGTGGGAACGATAATGGGGCGGATGAGGGAAACGGCGCCATGGACGAGGTCTATAAGGAAGATCAAACGTAGGGGCGCCATGACGAACAGATTCGGGTAGCTCCGACGGCTCGTCCTGTTGCGATGGGACGCACTGGGCAAGACCAGGCTCCTCAGCCCGGCTGCTGAATGGTCGCGGCTCTTCTCGGTTTTTACTTCCCTGCCCTCTTGAAGTTGTATCAGGTTCTTCAGCGGTTAACGGGATCTTCGCCTCCTTCTCAGTCTTAGTGCTCGGAATCGAATCTTCAGCTGGAGGCTCTCGGTTTACCGCAGCTTCGTCAGCCGGCGCCGGATTTTGGAGACTTTCATCAGACGGCTGACTTGCATCTCTCGCTCCAATACGGGAACCGAACTCAGTCTCAAAGGCCGAGTATAGTGTATGTCCCATCTGGCCGAGCTCAGAAGCCATAGTATACAGGCTGTCTACGGCCTCTGCAGGTGTAGGAACCTCGCCCCTGAACATGTTGCTGGTTCTCCGATCCCCCGCACCGCCTGCATTGTTCAGCGCATTGGTCAGATTCCTCATCTGAGCGTCCAAGCTCGCAAAAGCTGCCTGGACAGTCGACCCGACGTTTTCTGGCAGGACTCTTTGCGCGTTCTGTAGATGATGCTCTAACTGATGTTCCAACTCTGGCAATCTTGACCTCACTTCGGAGCCAATCATTTCAGCTCCGTTGATCAGGTGGTGCATCGCCTGAGCCAAAGCCACAGCTGGATTTGTGCGTCTGCCAGAGCTTGCCGACTCGTTTGGCACTTCCGTAGAAGAAGGAATCTCTTCTGCATTGTTGGTATTGCGAGGCTCTGAAGCGCTCAGCATCTTGGCCAGCTCTGTTTCAAAAGCTGCCAAAAGCGATTCGGAACCCTCATTTGTAGGCAGACCAGCGTTTGATTCTGTGCCGTCTTGTAAAGGAGAAGTAGATTTGTCCGTTGTCGATTCTACGGCGTTCTTTATGGTTTCTATTTCCCGACCAGCCGGATTATACTCAAATCGCTTCCACAACTCAGTGACAGAGTTAGATCGGCGAATATCGAAGATGTGCATGGTCTCAGGTATCGTGGAATCTTGTGTAGAGTTTGCCTGGATCGGCATATCATATATAGGTTCGTCCAGACGTTGAGAAAGCTCAAGAGATGATCCGACCTAGGAGTACATGTGTTAGAGACTAAACGTGTGAAATCTGAGCAGAACGTAACACTCACAGTGATAATCTCTCCGTCGTCATCATCCACGTATGTCAGCCGGGCTCGGGGATGAGAAAATGCGATTTCATCGTAGTCAGAGGCTGAGAGCTGCACAATGCCCGAGCGCCTACTGGTATTGTGATCATGATGTGCCCGTGGGAGACAGTCGAGAGAGTTGTACGCATCTTCCTGTGGTGGAGATCCATGAAGATCTCTTATCTGAAATGGCTTCAACATGGCTGCTGATAGCCACCGATTGGAGAGTGGTCAAGAGAGACACAACTGAGATGGATAACGGAAAATATTGATAGAGCAGAAAGAACGGTAGACTAGAAAAAGATGAGAGCTACAAGCTTCAAATAGATAGAGACAGCATGGGGGTGCGGCGAGAAGCTGACGAGGCCGCACCTATGCTGCTGCCTGTGGATGGCAACACAAGAAGACAACAACTTCTGACTGGCGGCAGATTATCCCTTGTTCACAATACGACAAAGGGAAGTGAGGAGAACCAAAGAATATTGGCTGGATAGGGCTCATGCATAAAGTCCATCAAATCATAAAGGCAGAGATGGATAGCAGGCAACAGAATACGCATGTGGTTGGCGATCGGAGCTTCTGAGGGTAATCAGATGGGCGGAGACAAAGCTAAAAGATACGGAGTAACACCCCACGGATTAACACCACTAATCCATCAGAAAAATCAAAACAGCATCAATCGTCAATTGGCCGTAGGAGCATGCATCTTTCATGTGCTTGTACTATCTATCATCTTGCATGAGTCAATAGCCTCAGTGTTATCATTTCCAACACGGGGCTCCATTGAGAATAACTCCTCCAAACATTACTGTCTTGCACGCTGGAACTTAACCGCACCTTGACGTCGCTTCTCCTTCGAATTCTTCCCAGCAACTGCTACTCAGATGGCTCAGCATCAAAGGAAGCGTCGCGTACATAAAATTGCACCTGTCTCTTTCACACAGCCTTGACCTTAATACGTCGCCCATTTCCTCTCTCAATGGCCTCTGCCGACGGCGCGTCTCCCCATGTGAAATCCCCGACCGAGCGTAACCTGAAACAGGTTGTACTGGGTGACCTTTTATTCAAGACTTGGTATCAATCGATCTATCCCGAAGACCTCGTGAGCAAGGATACAGACCGTTTATATGTCTGTTGCTGGTGTTTCTGTTACTCGTGCGACGTGGACAGCCATGTAAGGCATATGCGACTTTGCGAACACCGGACAACACCTCCCGGTGCCCAGGTCTACGAACATGGCGGATATTCAGTATGGGAGGTGGATGGAGAAGAACATAAGCTCTATGCGCAAAACCTCTCGCTCTTCGCGAAGCTGTTTCTCGACCACAAGTCCGTATTCTTCGACGTCGCGACTTTTCTGTACTACATCCTCACGTTCACCGATCCTGAGAACCCCGAAAAATACCATGTTGTAGGATTTTTCTCCAAGGAGAAACTGTCCTGGGACGCGAACAACCTTGCCTGCATTTTAGTCTTCCCACCTTACCAACACAAGCAGCTGGGAAAGTTATTGATGGGTGTTAGTTATAAAATCAGTGCCTGGGAAGAAGATGCGGGTTCCATAGGCGGTCCCGAGAAGCCGCTGAGTGATATGGGTGCGCGAAGCTATTCCCGCTTCTGGCAAGAACGGATCGGAAGGCGTTTGTTGTCAGAAGATACAGATGCTTCTGTACAAGAGACACAGCCGGTCAAAGAGAGTCGGAAACGGCATTCATCAACTTTCATGACAGTCAGGGGTATAGGCCAGGCCACTGGGATGCTGACGGAGGACGTGATTACGGCCCTCAGAGGAATGGGCGTTGTTCAACCTGAGACGCCTTCCAAAAGGCGAAAGGTAAAGCAGGCTGCCGATGAGCCTGATCACTATGTCACCATACGCAAGTCAGACCTACTACGGTGGATGGAAAGTCGCAAAGTCCCACTACAAGATCCGGTCAGGGATGAAAGATTCGTCGGCAGATGGGCCCTTAGAGACACGCTTGAGGAGAATGATAGTAGCGCGGGTGAAGGGGAGGAAGAAGAAGAGGAGGACGAGGAGGAGGATTCACATATTGCATAATGATGTTCTACTCCCGTCAGCCAGGCTGATGCGTTCATGAATAATGATCATCGATATTTTCTCCCCACCTTGTCTGACATTAGATACCCAGAACTGTGTCTTCCTCAATGAGGGACGTTCCAGCTCTTGAAAGGAGATAACCAGAAACCAAATGAGATTCTGCGGACTATAGAGACTCAGCACGACAAAGGCTTCAATCATATAATTTACAAATACCCAGCCCAATAGAGTCGTTCAGAACAAGATGTAAGGAAATTCAAAACAAGGTAAATCACAAAAGACAAATCAACCCTACAAACGCCGCGACGAATACGCCCTTTTAGTCCCAACATAGAGTGGTGCCCCTAGACCTTCTTCTTCTTCTTGGACGGCTCGGCATCGTTGTCGTGCTTGCGCTTCTTCTTCTCGGATTCGCCTTCGCCAACGTCGGACTTCCGCTTCTTCTTCTTTTCTTCCTTCTCGCTCTTGTCCTTCTTCTCCTTCTTTTCTTTCTTTTCCTTCTTCTCCTTCTTCTCCTTCTTCTCAGCCTTGTCATCGACGTCGTGCATCTCCTTGTCGCTATCATCAGCGTCGATGTCCATCTCGGCCAGAACGGCATCCATGGCGGATTTCTGTGATGGTCAGTGACTTGCCCATATAGGATCTTCCTCGAGGAAACCAAACATACCATGGCAACTTCGTTTTTAGTAGGGGCTGCGCCAGAAGCATAAAACTCCAGGCGTTCCTCAACCTGCTTCTTCAGGGCTTCACCGAACTTGGTCGAGGGTTGCTCGGAGAAGTTATCGATTCTGGAAGCGATAGAGCACTTGTTTGCAAGGAATCGCGAGATTCTACCCTTGTTCTTGGGGCCAGCTCGGCCAATGAAAGAGGAGTGGTACAGCAGTCCGTACTTGGGAGTGTTTCCCTTGGTCTTCAGAGCTCTAAAAAGAGCCTTCTCCGCGCCGAGAATCTGCACGGTAGAAGCGGGATACTTGGACAAGTTGGTCAAGCTTCCGGCATGCGAAATCAGACGAGCGCCAACGATCTCTCCGATCAACGCAGCAAGGTTAGGAGCGACAACGCTCATCTTGGAAACCAGGTAAGAGTGCAGCGACTTGCGGTACTTGGAAAGGCTAACAACTCTTTGTGCGAACGCAATGACGTTCTCCATGTCCGACTCAGATATTTCCTGGCCCATGCTGTGCTTGGCAGCATCAATAATGCTCTGAGCAACACCCTCATCATCCTCCACAAGAGCAGCAAGGTCGTGCAAGCTCTCATCAGTCAGAGTCTTTTTGTCCTTGACAAAGAGTGCAAGCTGAGCATAGCGCTGGTTATCCGAAACGATCTTGACAAGTTCGGGGAAGTGCCACGAGTACCACTCTCTCACCCTCATAGAGAAGGTGTTGATGGCCTTGTCGAGCTGGTCCAAAATTGCAATAGCCTGAATAATGTGGTTGTCGTCACGCTGGACGGAGAACTTGACCTTAGCACGGGAGTAGGCGTGACCGAGACCAAGCTGGGCAGTATCCATATCACCCTCGCGGAGCTGCTTTAGCAACTTAGAGGCATGCAACCTGATTCCACGAAGCATATCTTGCACAACTTCACTGGTGTCTCCAGTCTCACAATCGACAAAAGGGAACGCTGATTTGATACTTGAAGCCAGCGCCTTGTCAGCAAGTCCGAGAACGATCTTCTTCTTTTTGCTGGCCTTTGGAAGGTTCAATTCGAGAAAGTTGATAAGAGTGTCAGAAGCGACACCTTCCGAAACATCGTTGATTTCGCTGAGAGCCTGCTTGTTGTTTCTAGAGTTTGTCAGCATATACGCATTCCGGCTTGAAGGAGGAAAAAATTGAATAGATCGTCAAAAACATACTCGAACGGCAGGAAACTGGCGAGTTCAATCATCTTGCCGAATTTCGCAAGATCATTCACACCATCTTGAACCTCCTTCAAACGATTTCCAACGCTGTCTCCCTGGTGAGCGACTTTGAAGATTGAGTAGCCCATAGGGCCCTCGAACAAAAGGTAGTCGGCCATGGCGAAATCGTCTTAATGTCCCCAAATTTACGGAAAAAAAAGTCAGTTGATTGATCCGAGAACCCAAGCCCACTGCGCAGTCACCGGTCACCTGCGATTACAGTCTTGTTGTGTCCCGACGTGGAGTTGAAAAAGGGCTGGAAGGTGGATTTGGAGAGTCCGAACCGTCAGAGCTCTTTTTTTTCTTTCGTGGCGGCGCTAGTGCGAACATCGAATGTGGGCTTTTTGCCAAAACTCAGGCTCACCGCATTCGCCGGGGCCTACCAGCAGTTTGTGCCAACGCGGGTTTCTTTTCTGGGCGACCAATATCAACAGGGGTTATTTTCCTTTTGAGTATTTCCGCGTGCTCTTTTGTTGTCTGTTATCGATTTCAATCTGCAGAGATGTCTGCAACTCAGCTACTGAACCCCAAAGCCGAGTCGAGGGTATGGGAAAAGCTCCGAACTGCCCCTCAATTATCTAGACACACACTGACACCGCACAGCGGAGGGCGGAAGCTTTAAAAGTGAACATTAGCGCTGGGGAGGGCCTTCAGGATGTCTTGAAGTCTAATTTGGGTCCATCTGGGACTCTAAAGATGTATGTTTCACTTTTAAAATGGTCCAATAATGACAAAGTACTGACACGAAGTAGGTTGGTGGATGGTGCTGGCGGAGTATGGACCATTTCTCCTTGAATGAAGAATACATTATCTAACGGCAGTCCCATACAGATCAAGTTGACTAAGGATGGCAATGTGCTCTTGCGAGAGATGGTAAGTTATGCTCTGCCATGTCATGTGAACCCATACTAACTAACTCAGCAAATCCAAAACCCAACAGCCGTAAGCTACCTGCGACTCGAACTCGAGGACCACTTTTTACTCACACGAACAAGGTTATGATTGCCCGAGCCGCCACAGCACAAGACGATATTACCGGTGATGGAACGACGTCCGTCGTCCTGATGGTCGGAGAGCTCTTGAAGCAGGCTGATCGGTATATATCTGAGGGGCTGCATCCCAGAGTGATCACGGATGGCTACGAGATTGCCAAGAATGAAGCTCTCAAGGTCGGTATTGAATAGAAATACCTTAATTAGCTCAACGAGAGGCTGAAATTTTGGTTGTATAGTTCCTCGACCAGTTTAAGATTGAGCGCAACATTGACCGCGAGTTGTTGCTCTCTGTTGCTCGGACGTCACTTGCCACGAAACTGAACAGCGCCCTTGCTGAAAAGCTTACACCGGATGTCGTCGATGCAGTCCTTGCCATCCACAGAGCCCCTGAGAAACCCGATTTGCACATGGTTGAGATCATGACCATGCAGCACCGGACGGCGTCCGACACACAACTCATCCGTGGTCTCGCTTTAGACCACGGTGCAAGACACCCTGATATGCCTAAGAGGGTTGAGAATGCTTTCATTCTGACTCTGAATGTCAGTTTGGAATATGAGAAGTCGGAAATCAACTCTGGTTTCTACTACTCCTCGGCCGAGCAGAGGGACAAGCTGGTGGAGAGCGAGCGCAAATTCGTGGACGCTAAGCTGCAGAAGATCGTGGAGCTAAAGAAGCAGGTTTGCGGTACTGACCCCAAGAAAGGCTTTGTCGTGATCAATCAAAAGGGCATTGACCCTCTGAGCTTGGATGTCCTCGTCAAGAACGGAATTTTGGCCCTGCGGAGAGCTAAGCGGAGAAACATGGAACGACTCCAGCTTATTTGCGGTGGTGTTGCTCAGAACAGTGTGGACGACCTTACCCCTGATGTTCTCGGATGGGCCGGCCTGGTTTACGAACACCAGCTCGGAGAAGAGAAGTACACGTTTGTCGAAGAGGTCAAGGACCCCAAGTCTGTTACCATCCTCATCAAGGGGCCCAACCAACACACTATCGCTCAGGTCAAGGATGCAGTCCGCGATGGCTTACGATCTGTCTACAACACCATCGTCGATGGCTGCGTTGTTCCTGGTGCTGGTGCTTACCAAGTCGCTTGCGCTCATCACCTGTCATCTGAAGGTGTTCGGAAGTCTGTCAAGGGCAAGGCCAAGTGGGGTGTTGCTGCTTTTGCCGATGCCCTTCTGGTTATTCCCAAGACGCTGGCTGCCAATTCAGGCCATGACATCCAGGATTCCCTGGCTGCTCTGCAGGATGAGCGTGCGGAAGGTAATGTGGTCGGGTTAGATTTGACGACGGGAGAGCCCATGGATCCGGTGCAGGAGGGTGTCTTCGATTCTTACCGGGTCTTGCGTAACTGCATCGCATCGAGCACTGGTATAGCCTCGAACCTACTCTTGTGTGACGAACTGCTCAAGGCCAGACAAATGAGCAAGCAAGGTGGGCCTGGCGGCATGGATGAGTAATGCGGATATTACGTGTAAAGGGCTACTAGAGTCATGTTATGCTTGCAAGATTGAAGCAATTATGCCTAAAATGTACTCAAATAAATTCAATAATTACCGCCTGAACCTCAGTTAACCTCGTATTACTCATACTTCATCTGCTTTGAAGTGACATTTGAGAGATAAATACCTTTCGAAGTCATGAAGTCAGCATATCGCAGTTATCATTCCATATTATCTAACGAGTTGTCAGTAAAGATACGACCAGTTTCTGCCTTCGAACCAGTGAAGTATCAGTGACTTTTGACTGAGGAATAAAGCATAGCTATCTTACGTTAGGGTCTCCCTTAGTAAGGCAATCTAGATTTAACTTCCGTCCAATGATGAACCTCCCCTCGCCTTTCCCCCTTCCATTAGACATCATGCTGGTCCAAGCCCCCATGTTCCCCTCAGTCATACAAAGGATGGCTTCACCTGATCCTTCTTCTTCAACAGTCAGATAGACAGGACGGAGGAGCCAGAGGGTTGAAGGGCTGCTTTGGACCTATTATGAAGGGTTTCTGGCTTCTACCTACCTCAGCAAAGGAATGCCCCCACTTCCGCTCTCAGGTCAGCCCCGCGATAATAATAATGCCCACGAGTCGGCCGACGATGTTAATCGGCTCCCCTAACCGCAAGCGAGAATCGTCGGACTCGGGTTGCGACAGCCCACCAGCCACCCACTTCTCACCAGTCTCGGTTGCGAGCCATCAGGAAGCGAGACTCCTTGAGGAAGAGGATCTAGGGAGGTACAGCCCTCGAGCCGCAGTTGCCGGTCGCCTAGGAGCACTGGCTATTCACAGTGAAAATAATTCAAGTTTGTCTAATTCGGATGCAAGTCTGTACAAAGACCCATTCGTAGACTCACTTCGCACGAAATGCTGGGTTGACTCATACAACGGTCTTCATGACATGGCTGAGAATACTTCTACTGAACCCAGCGATTTTGGCTTTAATGCGTCTTCGAAAGGGAATGGCCATCTTGATGATGCAAATTCTGCTGCTTCAGCTTCAACCGTCAAGAAAAAGTCGCTTTCGAGCCCCCGTAAGAGAAAAGCCACCTCAAATGATACATCAAGGATGCGTCATAAGCAGGGTTCGCCGTCTCCTGACAGCACAATGGACGACAATTCACTTACATGGAATGATTCTGAAATAACTGGTCACGACCCCAAAGATCCAAATGATGACGGATATGGCATCAACGGCATCGGATTCAAGCCTACTGCAGCAATCGCTTGGGCCAGAGCGCAAAAACGACAAAAGCAGGTGGCTGAATGGAAATCTCGAGAAGCAAGAGAAGCGCGCGAAAAGCGAAGAGAAAGACGTGACGGTCATGAATTTGATAAACTTCGCTCGATTCAGAGTGGCACAATTCAGAAGAAGGTCAAATTCAATCTCTGAAATTATTCAGTTCAAAACTGCATTTAGCTGGACTGGCGCGTTTTGGCTTTCTCTCATTTCTTCTCGTTTTGGCTGGCGAATGGGGTTGAATAAGCGATGATGCATATATCTTTGGACTGATCATATTGGTTCGCCATTCGAATGACCGCGACGCTGGAAATCGCTATTTTAGAAATATGTGCTCCGTACTTTATATGCTATTTTACATTACACCACTAGTGATATCCCAGAAACTCCGTGACTCCCAACATTGTGCCGCGCCATATGTCTACCAGAACTTATAATTCGATAGGTTCGTCCAACTCTTCCTTTTCTTCTCTTCTTCGGCTAAGCGGGCAGCCTCTTCCGCCATCTGCTTTTCCTTCTCTCGCTGTTTCTTGAGCTTCAGTTCCTTCATCAATTCCACTGCTTGCTTCATGCCATCCAACTCTTGGACTCGTCGCCGCTGGCAGAATTCGTGAGCTGCGAGGGAAGTGATAGCGAACGCCCCAACGGCCCAGTTGCAGGCTGTCCATATTGAGCGCAGGCCTAAGTGCAAGCCACAGTTAGTTCTGAGACCTCGTGTCGGTTCGCTTTATTGTGAAGATATCCAGCTTACCCCCTAATACACCCCTAACCCCACCGATGCCAAATCCGGCACCGATCCCTAGCAATAATGAATCCCGAGCGCATGGAGCTTTATAAAACGAGGTGACTTCTTTCAAAGACATTGACTTCATTGCTTCGGTGACCGATACGTCGCTCGCATCCTTCTTCGTCCCACTATAGCCTGTATTTGACAGTACGTTTGCGGATTCTTCTGGATTGCCAAACGCCTCCCATAACTTTCCGACCTGCGACTTTGGGAGCTCATACTTTGTCTTTTTTCGTGACGATGAAGAGTCTTCCGAGGCTGTCCGTTCGTTTGCGCCCGCGATCGGCATATGTGTGGTAGAGTCCCGAGTATCGTCAGCCATCTTTTGAAATTATAATTCTCGCTCGAATAAGAGAATGATCAACAAAGCTTATAACTTCGTCGACATGGGCAGACGAAGTGCGGAACGACGGTTATACCGGATCAACCCAAGATCCGAATCTATAGACTTTTAGACAAATTAGGCTAGCTCTTCCGGCACCCCCAGCACTCTAAAAGAGGTTTGATGGCACGCGTAAAGTAAGAACGCGAACGCGTCGAAATCGGAAAACAGGGCAAAATTAGCAACTGGGCAGCGGGCAGTGGTCGAGTCAATGGACTTAATACATGCTTACTTCGGTATAATAACCAACCCATTGACAGATACCTCACACAGCTATGCTCAGATTCTCGCTGCATTGAACTTAACTTCGGGTTCCATGCTCATAAACAATCTATTTGTTCGGTAATTGATATTCGGCCCTGACCCGCGGGCCTCGCCGTCGCTATGCCTACGCGACAACCCAGCAAGTATGGCAACAAGTTCCGGTCCAGTTCTGCGAGCTTCAAGCCCAAACGTACAAAGACAGTCGAATTTTCGTCGTTAAGGTCGACCGAAGCTACGTCACAAGATGAGAAATTCGAGGCGGTTCGACTGGCGAACAGCATCGACGAAGCCTTGGGCTTCCCGCGCTTCGAATCCGGCGAGAAGAGGGTCGGCTGGCTCATCAATATGCATAGCACCTCGATAGAAGATCCGAACGTTCCTGGAGGACGTGCTGGGGTGGATTACTATTTTTTGGAGGACGGAGGTGGCAGCTTCAAGGCGACGGTGGAGTACGATCCGTATTTTCTCCTCGCTGTGAAGAAAGGCCATGAAGCGGAAGTCGAAGAATGGTGCCGGAGGATGTTCGAGGGACTGATCAAGAAGATAAAAAGGGTAGAGAAGGAGGATCTCCAGTTGCCGAACCATTTACTTGGCCATCGTCGAACGTTCCTTCAGCTCAACTTTGCAAATGTGAGCCATCTACTGGACGTTCGTAAGACGCTGCTTCCATTGGCAGAGAAGAATAAGAAAAATGTGAATGTAATGGATACTTATGCAGAGATTTCCAGGTTTGTTTTGTGCCGAGGAGCGATATGATCCTGTTGACTTGACATGAAGCTAATCCTTCCAGCGCAAATGCCGGATTCGATCTCTTTGATGATGAACTGATTAACGAGTCACGACCTAATGGCAATATGCATGCAAGTGATTTTATTATTGATATTCGAGAATATGATGTTCCCTACCATGTTCGGGTGGCAATCGACAAAGGTTGGCAACTAACTCTCCATATCTGTCAATAAACAACGACTGACAGACCCAAAGATATCCGAATTGGAAAATGGTACACTGTTGAAGCGAAGCACGGTGTTATCTCCTTGACCTGTCTAGAAGAACGACTTCAGCGGGCTGATCCAGTGATTCTTGCCTTCGATATCGAAACGACAAAATTACCGCTGAAGTTCCCGGATTCTGTGATCGACCAGATCATGATGATCTCCTACATGATTGATGGCCAAGGATTTCTGATAACCAATCGAGAGATAGTGTCTGAAGACATTAACGATTTTGAGTATACACCCAAGCCCGAGTACAGCGGGCCATTTATGATCTTCAACGAGCCCAATGAGCGAAGCGTCATCGAACGCTTTTTCGAGCACATAAAAGAAGCAAAACCGACGGTCATTGCCACATACAACGGTGACTTCTTCGATTGGCCATTCATCGAAGCTAGAGCTAGCATGCTTGGAATTGACATGTACAAGGAGATCGGCTTTCGCAAAACCAGTGAGGACATCTACCAAAGTGACTACTGTGTGCACATGGATTGCTTTGCCTGGGTCAACCGTGACAGTTACCTTCCTCAAGGAAGCCGTGGTTTGAAAGCTGTCACTGTTGCGAAGCTCGGTTACGACCCTGACGAGCTTGATCCAGAGCTGATGACTCCTTATGCAAGCGAACGCCCTCAAACCTTGGCTGAATACTCGGTTTCAGATGCTGTGGCGACCTATTATCTGTATATGAAATACGTGCACCCGTTCATATTCTCGCTTTGTACAATCATTCCACTCAACCCTGATGACACGCTGCGGAAAGGAACCGGAACACTCTGTGAAATGCTGTTAATGGTCCAAGCATATAAGGGTGAAATTGTACTTCCGAACAAGCACAAAGATCCCCCGGAGTCGTTCTACGAGGGCCATCTCCTGGAATCAGAGACCTATGTCGGTGGTCACGTCGAAAGTATAGAAGCAGGTGTATTTCGAAGCGATATCCCTGTCACATTCTCCATCGATACCACTGCTATTGACGAACTACTCCGAGATCTCGATGCCGCTTTGAAATTCAGTATTGAGGTCGAAGAGAAGAAATCCATGGATGATGTGGTAAATTATGAGGAAATCAAGGCACAGATCGCAGAACGCTTGGTCAATCTCAAGGAAAAGCCGCACAGGGACGAGGTCCCTTCCATTTACCACTTGGACGTTGCTTCCATGTATCCCAATATCATGATCACCAACCGATTGCAACCGGACTCCATGATCCAGGAATCTGATTGCGCTGCCTGCGACTTCAACAGGCCCGGGAAGACCTGTGACAGGAGATTACCGTGGGCTTGGCGTGGTGAGTTCCTTCCAGCCAAGCGTGACGAGTACAACATGATCAGACAAGCTGTTGCAAATGAGCGATTCCCTGGGAGAACAAAGAACAGTCCGATGAGGTCCTTTGGCGAGATGAGCGTCGAGGAACAAGCTGCTATTATCAAGAAGCGCCTTCAAGATTATAGCAAAAAGATCTATCACAAGATCCACGACAGCAAGACCATTGTGCGCGAGGCAATCATCTGCCAACGTGAAAATCCTTTCTATGTTGACACTGTTCGCAGCTTTCGTGACCGACGATATGATTTCAAAGGAAAGCAGAAAGTCTGGAAAGGGAAGACTGAAGCCCTCAAAGCAGCAGGTGCTTCTGCTGCGGAGGTTGAAGAAGCAAAGAAGATGATTGTGCTGTTCGACTCATTACAACTTGCTCATAAAGTCATCTTGAACAGTTTTTATGGTTATGTCATGAGAAAGGGGTCTCGGTGGTACTCAATGGAAATGGCCGGTGTGACGTGTCTTACCGGCGCTCATATTATTCAAATGGCAAGAGAGCTCGTTGAACGTATCGGCCGGCCACTGGAACTCGACACCGATGGTATTTGGTGTATGCTCCCAGGGAGTTTTCCCGAGGATTTCTCGTTCACTCTCAAGAATGGCAAGAAGCTTGGTATATCATATCCCTGCGTCATGCTAAATCACCTCGTGCATGGAAAATACACCAATCACCAGTACCAAACACTTGTCGACCCGAAGACCTTCCGATATGAAACGCATAGCGACAACTCTATTTTCTTTGAAGTCGATGGCCCTTACAAAGCGATGATACTCCCCACGTCGAAAGAAGAGGATAAGAACTTGAAGAAGCGCTATGCTGTTTTCAACCATGATGGATCCTTAGCTGAATTGAAGGGCTTCGAAGTCAAGCGAAGGGGAGAGCTGAAGTTGATTAAGATATTCCAGACTCAAATTTTCCGCTTCTTTTTGGAAGGATCCACCCTGGAAGAAACATATGGTGCTGTTGCTCGAGTCGCTGATAGATGGTTAGATGTTCTTTATGAACATGGCGCAACGTTGGCCGATGAGGAGCTCATTGAACTTATTTCTGAAAATAGGAGCATGACAAAGACTCTGGAAGAATATGGGAATCAGAAGTCAACATCCATCACGACAGCACGGCGGTTGGCAGAATTTCTGGGAGAGCAGATGGTGAAGGACAAGGGTCTCAACTGCAAGTACATCATCTCTGCGAAGCCAAGGAACACACCTGTCACCGAGCGAGCCATTCCAGTGGCGATATTCTCAGCTGAAGAGCCTGTCAAGCGATTCTTTTTGAGGAAATGGTTGAAAGACGATCCCGGAGATATGGATCCTCGAAGCGTCATCGATTGGGACTATTACCTTGAGCGATTGGGCTCTGTTGTACAGAAACTGATCACAATCCCCGCTGCTCTTCAGAAAGTCCGCAATCCAGTCCCCCGAGTAGCCCACCCTGACTGGCTCCAACGGCGGATCAACATAAAGGAGGACAAGTTCAAGCAGACAAAGATGACCGATATGTTTGGGAAGACAGAAAAGAACCCACTTTCCGACATCTCAACAAACATCCTGGATCATCGTGTCCAGCATCACGGCGACATCGGGGAAGCTGTTGCGAATTCGACGCAGAAACTGAAGTCGTCACCGAACGGCAAGATCTCACAGAAAAGAAAACACCCTGAGGGTCTGACAAAGACCTTGCTTGATCCTTTTGCCAGCCTTCCAGCCAAAATGCCTTCGTTGGACGAGGATTATGTTGAATTCTTGAAGTACCAGAAGCAAAAATGGAAAATTCAGAAGCAAGCTCGAGCCCGCCGTCGCCAGCTCTTTGGAGAACGCGTAAATGTGGCAACTGATTCTTTAAGCAATCTCTTCAGGAATCAAGCAGAGCTGCTGTACATTAATACGTGGCAAGTTCTTCAGCTATGTGAAACAGGTAGACCTGGAATTGTCCGGGCATTCGTATTGATTGACCGGAAAATCCATGCGCTTACAGTCAAGGTCCCCAGACAGATCTACGTCAATCTGAAACGGGACTCGCTGCCAGATGTTGATGTTCGAGACTGTGAGGTGGAAAAGGTCAACCACACTTTGCCCAACGGACATCCTTCGGTTCATCTATTCAAGTTGACGTTGTCCGAAGACACATACCTGCGAGAAGCAGACAAAATAGACGTTCTTCTGCAACACCCCAGCATTGAAGGAGTCTACGAGAAGAACATCCCTCTGAGTGTCCGCGCTGTTCTAAAGCTGGGCAGTGTATGCACCTTTGATGAAGAACAACGAGGAGTTCTTGGTGAGGGATTGGATCGAGGATTCAATCTCTCGACATTATGCCATACGACTCCTGATGAACCTTACCTTCTGAACTCACCCTTG